CAGAGCCGCGATATTTGAAAGATAAACAATCGATATATGTGATATCAATAAATTTTAAATAATAAAAAATAATAAAATGATAGATCGTCAGTTTTTCATTATTGTATTTATATATATATTTTCCGGTTCACGTAATACACTAGCACGTAATACTCTCCCTCAATTTCAAAAATAATTGTATTAAAAAAAAATGATTTTAAAAATTACAATTACGTTTGAAGACAAGTTCAAAATGTGATGCTAAGCGTTTAAGTATAGTCATAATAAATATAATTATAACGAATCGATAGTTTATAATTTATACTTGATTTCAAAAAACACTTTAAAAATTCAAAAAAGTACACTACTTAAACAAAAAATATGTACTTGTATGTATACCCATAAAAATCTACAATACAATATTTATGAATTTTTTGGCAACTTTATTCCTTCATTAATTAATTATATGCAACGTACATTACTCTTTTATATTTACAGAGATACAATTTAATTACAAGCAATTGGAATTCAGGCGCATAAGTATGTAATAGTCACTACAATAATTGACTAAATATTCAACAATAGGCGCAAACGATCTTATATATATATATTTTCCTTCACCATATATATAATTTCTGTTTTTTCACACATACCTTCCTAATGTATAAGTATAATATAAGAAATTATTCAAATATTTATTATATATTATAAATTTATACAAAATAGGAACGTATCTACAGCAAATAAATATAAGTATAAATAAAAAAAAATCATAAATTGTCGTTCTGTATGACACATTGATATGTATGAAAGATGTATTTATAGTATATAAACAAGTGATTCATATGAATATTTAACATAAAGTTTGTTTACAATCTTTTCGTGTATTCTATTACGCTTAATAAATTAATATTGAAAATATAAGTACGGAAAATTGGTCCGGCTAAATAAATATTCATTATTTAATATCAGGATTTTATTTCCATATGACTGCTCCCATGAGTAATCGTTGGAATTGAGATTCAACTCATTTTCTCTTTTCAAAAAGTAAATTTAAACAATCAACTTTATTTAAAACTTCTATATAATATACATATATATATTTATTAAAAATAAATAATAATATGTGTAAGACAAAGTTATAAATGGGAACAGTACACACAAAGTTTATATATATATATGTATGTATGTATATATATATATATATGTATATACATACACACACACACACACATGCCTTCCTCCCACACACACACATACATGTATATATGTGCGAGCAAAGTGTGCAAGTGGACAATGTCGACATTGCCCAAGTTGCCTGCTGTACAATGTCAGCATTGCCCGAGCAATGTCGACATTACATAACATATATATGTGTACATATAAAGCTTGATAAATAGAAATAATGTATACAGAAATTACAACTATTCGTGATTATTATTATCCGCGATATTATCATTTTACTTGTTCTACAATATATTTACATACCTTTTTATACACGTCTATTTAAAAATTCAAACACCCGCATCAAAACGTGACATTAAATTTCTCATTCATACGTTTATAAAAATTAAAATATCAGTAGATATGTGCTATGTACTTTCTTTTTCGAAAAAATTAATATCTTATAATCATGTAAATGACAGATGTCTCGCAGTTAAGACTAGCATAAAATAACCACGCAAAAATAATACAGTTGATGAGACCCATAATTCTTCAATAAAACGTTACTAACGAATAATTAGAATAGAATTTAAAAAATCATTCGCATTATAATTTAACAATTACACACAAGGCATTAAATAATATAAAGCATTAAATAAATAATCCTTGTCGTAAATGAATAAATAACACGAAGATTAACAAATATTATATAATTCTAATAACTGTAAATAAACAATATGTAATGTTCTCTTACGTGATGCTTAAATATTGTGTTTAATTGTTTTTTCGATGGATATAAAACAATGTATTTGACTAAATATTTTTAAATATTTTTATAATAATGCAAATATGTATATAAATAGATATGTGAAAAACTCGAAAATTGCTTAAATCAACTCTACAATTCAAAGCATGCATCTCTTACATTAAATTTTACGTTTTACAATTTTAGTTATCAAATTCTTAGTTATCAAACTAAAGTATCTAATGTCTCTAAACACAGATTTTAAGTATAACTGTAACATATGCAATTGTAAGTTGCTATAAATAATTTTGGGTTATAACATATAAAATATAATAAAATATAATAAAATAGTAATGATACAGTAATTACAGGTCATTTTCTTATTTGCGTAATTGTCTGTTATCTATCGATGACACATATTTTCTTATATTAAATTAAAAAAAAAATACATATCACACTAATGAAACTGTAAATAGTTCCATATTTTCGTTTAATTTTTACAACATTTCATAAATATCATGTACATAAATTCATTAATGACAATAGGTTTCATTCAGTAACGGAAACTACTATAAAATTACTAAAGTATTTTATTGTAACGCATATAAATATAATCGAATTGACAATATATGCGAATAATAATAAAATTTACAATTAGAAAATATATTTCCTACAAGGTCGTGAAAAAAAGTCTTGACCACTGTTCACAAACACCACATATGTTTCACATAATCATTACTTGTAGTCTTTAAATGCACGTTAAGTAATAGGACACATCTTCGATTAAAGTTTAAGTCAGTTTGCATTCTTACTCCATCTCCTCGCATTCAATTTGCAACCGTTGCATTTCGCAAATCTCAGAAGGGTTTTATCACAGCACATTTCTTTATCAAATACAAAATGCTGGCACAATCATTATTAATGAAATATCTTCACAATACATGTAAAATTAGTATGTCGACAAAGAAACGTCTGCACGTATACCTCTTTTACATTTAATGCTAAACATACTGTTATATGTCGAAAATTATACACTTGCATTTAGTATTATTTATAATTTTCGATATAGACATAAAGCTAAATCTCAGGAAAAGGAAAAGAATTAAGACTCATGTTGACATCACTACTTATATCTAAAAATCCATGTTTTTATAGAATAAATGTTACTTAATATATTGTTGCTGGAAGACGAGAACGGATCAAAGAAAGCAAGTCAAATAATAATTCATGAAAGATTGAGCAAATAAAAAATCTTTTTTTTGAAAGTTCACATATCTTTAAATTCTTATTTCATTTATAAATAAAATCTGCAAAACAATTAAAATTTTCAATAATTAAAAATTTAGATACACAAAAAAATTTATTATTTACAATTCTTATTTTTAGGAAAAAAAGAGAAACACAAGAGAAATCTGAAAGTTTAATATTTTATCGAATATTTATATCGCTTTACTTGAAGAAATAAAAAATAGAAACTGCAATTATTTGATTGCAGTTATCTTTCTTTTGATCTTTTAACTTTTCTCTCTTTAATTATAATACATTTTAAATATTGTAAGAGTTATTGTTAACAGATGTGAAATGACCAGCATAAAATATGATTTTTTTATATAGTTAGGCTAGATAAAACCATACATTATTTCAATATAAATAGAAAATTTATTTGTTAGAAAAACCAAACTTATCTTATTCTTGCAGCCAAGTAAAATTCAATTCCTTTTTGAAATTTTACATTCATTTAAAATTCGAAAGAGCTTGAACTATACTAAATAATATATAGCCAAAAATTTATAAAATAATGGATAGATTAAGTATACATAATACATTTATGAAGTACCATGCCAATGTTTCATGAATTTGAATCCAAAGTAACAACAATTTTATTCTTAAGATAAAAAGATCTCATTTTTTTCCCACTTTTGATATTATTTTATCTATTCACACGTATAATGATAATAAATTAAACATTAGTTCTTTTTATATACAAGAAAATTAGATCGTTGGTTTTCCATATGAAGTTATCCGATCAATTCCTTTAGTATGCATACATAATTCGTTAATAATAAAATTGAATTGAATTACTTTAATTATACGTTTCTTTTATCTTTGTATCATGGTATCACTTTTAGTTTTACAAAATATCATAAAAGAAAATAATGAAATGCGTATTAATCACCGGTGAACTTAAAAGATTTCATTTTTCTCTTTTGATACTGTTTTATATATTCAGATATACCATTGACAACAAATTAGATCTCTTTGATTATGCAGTAAACGTTGGTTACAATATTACTATTGCTAATATTCTAATAAGATTTTACTTGCAACATTTCGTTTGCTCATTCACTTTCATTCTTTCTTTTTTTCTTTTTCTCTTTGGCGATGATTTATAGGTAGAAATTTAATTTCCGATCTAAAATAAAACCGTAGAAATGTTCTCTAGACCGTTGTAGTAACTGCCGTTGTATTGATTACTAAACAATCATATTATCATATATATCCTAAGCTAATCTTCGTAAGTCATTTTATTCCTCTTTTTCTATTTGTCGCAATTGGTGGGATCACATTTAAATCTCTCGTTGGAGAATGCTTTATAATAAACGTATTTTACGTATTCGCCATTAATATGTACGCCAAACTGATTACGTATGATACTATGATCACTAATAAGTAAAGCGTAATTCTCTGATAACGGCGCATAAAGCTAAGAATTATTACAAAGTGGAAGAAGTGTCTTAAATTTAGGCGATCACGTAAAAGGGTTTTCTTAATTTCGATCTATTATCTATTTCAAAACGTATAAATTATTTCAAGTCTCCCTCTCTAAGTATATATTTTTCAAATTATATGCAGTCTTTAATAAAAAAAAGAATTAAACTTTAATCACACATAGTTTGAATAATTAACACACACTGTTTACTCCAATCCATAGAAAGACTAGTAATTGTGAAATAAAGATCGTGCTTCACAGAAAGTATTCGTACATTAATTCGTATAGTTATAATAAGTTTTTTTTTTAACTCCATTCAACCACTTTTCATTTTCTATCAAATGCAAATATCCCTACATTTAGTTAAATTCGCAAAATTTTTTGGTTTGATTTTGTTTCATATTTTCATCTTCCCTATTTTAATCAATTACTTCAATTTATCGTGCGATAACAAGTATCTAAAGTCTTACGTTTATACAATTGAATTAATTGAATTAAATGAGCAAAACAAGGAAAGTAAGAAAAAAGTAATGATGAAGCAAGATCAAACCAAAAACTTTCACAAATATGCAATATTTATATGGCGATCGAATCGACATAAGAATCGATGCTCCAGTTCGACTTGTATCTGCGACGGATCTATTTCAATCAGAAAAACTTTCTCACCATTTTCTTCAAACCAGTGCTTCTCTTCTCTTTCTTGATTGAAGTAGGCGTAGCGCTACTGCTTCTCGACTCGTCACTTTCTTCAATCAAACCGTTCGCGGTACTCCCATTGGCACGATCACTGATAATCTGCGACAGCGTTTTAAAGTCCGTAGGACTGGACTGAGAGGACCTGTCATTTGAATGCTCCGAATCTTGGCTCCACTCCCATTTTTCAGAATTCGTAGAATTTGTGGAATTCGTAGACAATTTCCTTTTACCTAAGGCAGTTTTCATAAAGGATGGCGAACTCAATCTCGTACCTTTAAGAATACTGCCAGCTCTGAACGAGCCATTCTTTGACGTCTCGTTCTTCCGTTCAACTGTATTCAAACGCGGGCCTGATTTTTCAACGGACCTATTTACGATCACTAATGACGTATTAGGTTTACCGAGTTTACCGAGTTTGTCTTGACGACTAAGGTCGGAATTCATTCTGGATTCTATCTTATAAGTTTTATCTTCTGATGTAGGTTGCGTGATTCGTTCTATTCTTTCTATTTGATCATCGAACCAACCAATGGCAGTCTCGGGTGCGGATTCTGGTCTCTTATCGACCGAATCCTGCGATTCTTTGGAGTGTGGAGGATCTATGGACGATGCTCTTCTCGACGGTAACGTCGTACCACCAGGGATCGCATTTAATACACTCTTGTAATGAACCACTTCTTGTTTCGCATCGATATTAACTGCTTTAGTACCGGCGGTAAGTGCTTCTTTCTTGCGTTTTTTCTTTCGTTCCTTCTTTGTCTCAAAGGGTCGATCATCGATCATCAATTCGTGATATGTGCCGCTAATATAAGAAGCAATCTCGCTGGGTCGCCGTTTCTTTATTTTCTTGGCTGCGGCATGAGAACTAAAATTCTCCGCACTCTTTCGACGCATAGTGTCCTTTCTCGTGTCCGATTCGAGTTTTTCTTCCTCAAAACCTTCTCTTCGACGACAATAAGAGAGAATCAAGATAATAACGATAACTTCCAGACAGATCAACAAGGCGTGCTGAACAATCGCAGATATTCGGCTGCGCCAACTGTCCCGATCATAAAGAAGAGTTTCAACAGATTTAGAGAGTATCACAATTTCTTCCCTCAAAGCGGTGATTTCTTCTGCTCTTTTAGCATCACGTTCTTCGCCCTTTCGCGATTCCTCACCCATAGCAGCTACTGCACGCTCCAATGAGCGCTGCATTTCTTCGACTTGCTTTTTGTAGCGACGACTTAATTCCTCCAAATATTGTCCGCTGAGTGACATGTTTCTTTCTAAAATCTGAAAAAAGAGTATTAATTGCATTAATAATATTGATAATTTAATTGATGATAATAAATAAATAGTTTACATACACATGTTATATTAATGTATTACAGGGATGATATTCAACACAACTTTTTTTCGTATTTACTTTCTAACAAATTTATCAACATTTTCTAAAATAATGTAATTGATAAATATTAATGTAATTGATATTTTTTTTTAAACCCAACTATTCTCTCTTACTTTGATTCTGTTGGACAATCGAAGAAAAACAGACTCTTTCTGAGGAACAACATTTGCTGTGGGCTGTGTCGTCGGCGAAGAGCTAGATGCTCCATTCTGTATGTTAGCCGTGTCGACCTCCAAATCTTTCAAATCGGATAGTAATGAATCCAACGAGAGATGATCTTGAGGCGACAATCGAGCTTCTTGCTCACTCAGATCTTTCACCTGTCTTCCGTCTTGTTCGTTATTTTCTGACTTTTCTGTTTTGACTTGCGTGATAGTTTCGGCACTTTCCATATCAGGCATAAGGGTCTCAGTTTCTTTACTATCGATATTTATTAGCGGAACGTTACTTATAGATAATGTCTCGATAGGAGTTCCTAAAACCGCCAATTCTTCAGCAATCTTCAACGTCGGTGTCGGATTAGAGAGCGGTGCAGCGGTCGTCAGCACTTTCGACTGCAACGTCTCTTCCGTAAACTCCTTACTAGGTTCCAAAATAGGTACAGACGATTCCTTTTTCAAATCTTCTTTGCTGAGTGTCTTCGTAGGTTTGATCTGCGATGCTAAGCTCTCCGGAAAACTGGAGGAAGTCTCTATGGTCGCAATGCTAATATTTTCGCTCTCTTTAACATCCTGAGTCAATGGATGCTGCCGGACTTCCTTGGAGGACGCGGCAGATTTGCAAGCGGAAGAACTCGAATCCAGAGTACATGGATCCGGAGTGGAGGAAGTTTGATGAAAAGTGATATCGACGCGATCGGTATCTTTAGTGGATAAAATATTTTTACTAGCAGCGTCTTTAGATTTATTTACGGGAATTTCGTAACTTGTATTCATTACCACCTTACGTTCCTTTGTTGCTAAAACATTGCACAATGCTACAATATACTCAGGTTTGAAGAAAGATGTTAAAAAAGTCGCCTGGAAATCTTCTGCCAAATTAAAATGCGTCAAATCATCATCTTTTGTTTTGTCCTCCTCTCTTTCCTGCCAAAACGATTCAATTTCTACGCCATGAAGACCACACAATTTTCCTCGTCTTAAAGTTCTGTTTACCAAATCAATTCTAAGCAAATCATCCAACTGCTGATTCTTGCAGCTGACCAGTTGGAAAACACTGGCAAACTTCTGATCGGTACAGTTGCCACAGAGGATCGTGTATCTTGGTGTCGTACAGCTAGTGTACGAATTGTCTAAGATGTTACCGTGATCAATACTTTGTTGGATTTGCGTGATGTTGTTTCCAGTGAGACCACTGGACTTAACCAAGATCTCTGCGGCTTTTTTCACTACACTTAGCACGGCATCGCGTGCACTACCGAAAAGATTACTCGCTGATTCACCATCTAACAACTCCTCTTCGTCACTATCCTCGTCGTCATCTTCGTCCGTGTTTTTCTCTTCTAAGGTCTCATTCTCCGTTTCGGTTTCCAGCACTTCGAACTCGCTAGTGCCATAAGCGCGAAATAATGAGACAGGACAGAAGTGCTCCGAACCATAATGTGATTGGAGTTCAACCTTGATAAACTTGCCAAAGAAATGAGGATGTAGAGTGAAGCTCTGGACGTCTTTCACATCCTTGGCAGTGAATTGACCGACTGGGCTCCAGTCCTTAGTAGGAAAACGATCACTCACGTAGACAGAAAAGTCTTTCGGCGACGAGCTGAAGAGCTCAAAGTTTGCCAACTCGATCTTTTTTGCTTGTATCGCTTCACATAGCTCGACGACAAACCAGACACGCGATGTACAGGCGTTCAGCATATATTCGTCCCGCGTGGACACCAGAACGTTTTTGGCACTATTCGCTTCGGGGTTGGCTGCTACGATTTTGGCGCCGCAGTCTGGAGAAGCATAATTCTTATTACGAATTTTCATTCCGCTTACGCTTCGTCCTGGACCACCCGGGGTCTGCACGGAAGCGTTCGGATGAGCTGGAAAATAAAGAGACAAAATAGATTGTATATTAAATAACAACTATTCTAAATAATAATATTAAATTTAATTTAAGATTCTACGTTTTATCTTCATTATAACAAACATCAATCAATAGAATTATCGATAATTACTTTTTTTCTTTTCGGCCTCCTCCAAACGTTTTTGTGCCCATTCACTGAAAGATGGTATGTCCTCATGTGGCTCGGTGGGACCTGAAGTGACAAGTCCGTTCAAAATCACTGCTGCAGTCTCGTCTCTGCTATCACCGACCAATCGTGCTCTGGCCGCCGTGTCGTTTAATTCTGGTGCCGTGGTGAAGGTGTCATCGATCTTTGATGACAATTCCTCAGACACCTGAGCTTGACCAGCGTCCTCTTCCTCGACTCTTAGCTCTAATTCGTCCGTGTTAATCTTCTGCTCCGCTCTTACGATCACTACAACCTCCGGCGGTTCCTCAGCAGTGATTTTCTTTAGTAAAAGCACTTCTTCCTCGTCTTCGAGGACATCGGTGTCATTCGGTCTCTCTGTCGTCTCGTCGACGATCGGCGGCGGTGGAATCTGCGTTGTTGGCACGGTCTCCTTCAAATGCTCCGATTGTCTGACCTGATTGGTGCCCAGCAATGATGAATTTTTGATAGACGATCGCGAAGAAAACTCATGATCGATTTTCGGCTCGGCTAGATTTTGCAATTCAGCCGCAGTGTCCACCAAAGTCAACACTACCGCCTGGCCAGTCTCAGAGATCCTGCAAATCAGACAGACGTACATAATCAATAACTTATAATGTATACTTTATACATATTTTAATTTATTTCATTAATCATGAAATCTATGAAAATAGATTATTTTTTATTGTTTAACAGATGGAACAATATCAATAATTAAAATTAAATAAATCCTATCATTTCTATTATTCTCTTAAATTTTTCTTCTTAAATTTTTTCCCAATTTTCTTTAATTTTTTTAAAATGACAAAGAAAAAATGTATAAATCATTATACATTTTGTACATTACAGTTTTGCTGTGCTTTTCGCGCTGTATTTGTTATTGCTATAAGAAAGAAAATGGTTTAACTACCTTTATACAGGATGTTTTCTGTAATTTGATCGTTTAAAATATCTTCGTCGTTTTTAATGATACGAGAAGATATTACAGGGAATCTTATTCGATTTGAAGGAACACATATTATGAGCAAAAAATTTTTCTCAAGATCATTTTTTTTAGACTTCAAGGTCATCTCCATTTTTTAAAATGGAATTAATGATTTTTTGCACAATATGATTCCTCTAATTATTCTGCATATAAAAATATTAAGGTAATAATATTAAAAAACCAATAATTTACGAGATTTTTTATATTGTATTCTAGTGTATATTAGCATATAAAATGTTAAATAACTCATAAATACTATTAGTTTTTTATTTTCTTCTTCTTAATTCTGTTGTTCGTGGCTAAGTGTAACTTTTCTCAAACCTGTGGTGCTGGTTCTACACAGTCATATGAGATCTACAGTTTATCGATTTCAGACGAAATTTTGTTAGAGAAATTTTGTTAAGGCTCTGACACATAATACTTAAATCGTAAAACTTATGACTGAATTCGATTGAAAACACTAATGCATACTGGTACATATTAAAACCGTTGTACACTGATTTAATTTGAGTATAAATGTAAAATGCAAATATTTCGAATTATAAAATACATATTTTATCTAATAGTACAATAAAATATATTGAGTATTTCAGGATTTAATCGATTTCTATATTTATGTATAAATATATCTTTTTATTTTATGTATGATGGCTTTAATGTGCACACTGAGTGCGTCCAATTGAATTCGCTATTAGGTAATAAAAAAATCAATATGTTAGATTTACTACTGCTTACGTTATGGTCTTTACTGTGATTCGTCGATTCGCTTACTGCTTAAGTCTTACGTCTTAAGTTTTTCTATCTGCCATGGCCTTTAGAGTGAGCCACTTCTTGGCAAAGATACTCTTGGTGAGTTGTCGCTTCCTTCCGAGACACGAGAGGAGATACGAGGGTATAAAAATATTTTGATTCTACCGGGAATCGAACCCTGGATGTCTAGCTGACCAGTGCGCTCTATTTTGCTCACTCATACTGTTTTTGATATCACTATCTTAATTAGGTACTTATGAGATATGGTAGAAATATAATAAATACTTTTAGGAGATATTTTAAATGATCAAGTTACAGGAAACACCCTATATATTAGGTGTTGGAATTAATTCGTAGCATTTTACAAGTGATGGGAAGTACTTTCATTAATGTATTTTTTAATGCTCATGTGAAATAAATAACATTCTTTCATTAAAAAACGCTACGAATTAATTCCAACACCTAATATAATTAATTAATAATGAATTCGTGGAATTGCATCATTGTATACTGATAACTCAAAGTGGAGCCGAATCTATAAAATAACTTATAATAGTATTTTTTGAAAATATTTTCACGCATCAATTATCGCGTTAAAATTCTTATTAATTCTTGTTTTTTTTTATTACTTTATCGATAATTTCGAGAGTTATTCGCATTTATTTAAAATAATTAAATTTTAAAGACATATATATATTAATTCTCTTCATGTTTCTAAAATATTTAATCATATATACACGGTGCTCCGAAATTCTCGCATTCGGAGTATAGGACATGATACTTTATGTTAAAACAAACAACTTTAGCAAAATTGCTTCCGATAAGTAGTTTTGCAGGAAAATAGGTTGAAGTTGTACGAGTAAATACAAAAATTATTTATCGAATATAATTTTATTACAGGAAAAAGTTATTCGTTTTAGCACAAAAAATAACTTTTTCCTTTATCATGCGTCCGATAAGTAATAATTTTTGCAGGAGAGCAAGTTGAAGTTAACAAATAAGTACAAAAATTATTTATCAATTTAGCATAAAGTATCATGTCCGATTCGAATATGAGAATTTCAGATCATCCTATATTGATATATTCATATCAATTTATTATACAGTATCCGTTACTAAAGAATATAATTACATGCGACAATATTATAAAATTGTCTCAAAAACAGGTCTCAAGGACAACGCTACATATTACATATTTATTTATATAATATGCATAATTATGAATAACAGATGTGACATTTTCGAATATTAAAACGAAGCAAACTACAGTCACTTTCAAATACATAGAATTTTTACTCGCGATCATGTATGTTGAAAATGTGACGCATAGTGATGAGAAACTGAATAAACTTGGAGCAACATAGCTGATGTACTGGAATATAGCGTGCATAATTTCTGAAAAAAAACCAATTTATTACTAATAAGAACACTTTTTAGATTATATCATGTAAACATGTTTAATAAGTTTTTAATATAAAAGAAACTTTACTTTAAAATATATAAAACATGTGAGAATTTTAAAAAATACATGAAGTAATCTCTTTGCTCTGAAAGGAGATTATTGTAAGCATTTAGATATTATTACAATACATCATAATTTTTACAAATCTTTCAGAACTATAATAAAAAATATTTTAATTTAGCTTATAATACTTTTTTAAAAATCCATAAATATCACTGTTTCCCATTCAATTAGATACGAACAGCAGATTTACAAAACTCGTAATTCCACAACTGCATCCTTATAAGTGTAAAAGAATTTATCCTCATTAACAAAACGAATGAAGAAACGTATGTCAGCAATAAAAGACATTCGTCTTAACATTCGTTTTAACTTGAGGCACACACACACACTAGCAATTACTTCACCGTTGCTTCGCTCTGTCTAATCGTCACGATTCCCTTCTCCGGCTTATCATATTTATTTTATACTTTATATTTTATCACACCTTAGTGTCTGTTTACGCACGAACAACGTTCCTTGGGATTATTTTTACGATGGTTTTATAATAGGAAGTGCTGTAAGTTAATGGTTGTTCTCTATTGCTAGATAGTCGGAACGATCGGAGTGTCTAAGTCATAGCTTCAAAGAAACATAAGATAAATTTTAAAATTGAGATAAATTTGTTGTGACTATTTATTGTCTCTTTATTTATTGACGTGTTCTTTTATCAGGAAATAGATTCTTTTCTTGTATTCTAAATACCAAAACACAATAGAAATAAAAATACACAATCCGCTCAACAATGTGTCAAGAGATAAGAAATATTACTGCACAATTCAAATGAATTCTCCGCATCGCATCGTTGTGATTTGCAATAATTTCGGAGTAAATAAAGATACGAACAGAAATTAATCAAGTGTTTATGATCTCTCTAATAACAGCAGTAATAGTATAGCGGAAGACAGAAGTGATAATACAACCAAGTAGTTAGATGAAATGTAGTGGCATTTGATTGACACTGTATTCTCGTTTCAAGAATATTACTTTATGTGTTAACGTGCTATTTGTCCCGGAGTTCAATTAAGAGTTATGAGGCACGCAACGTTTATTATTGAATGCCTGCATATATATCTTAGAATGTGCCATTAGTGCTGCTATATGCATTCAATACTCGAAATTGATTCGAGGAAATTATGGACCAAATCTCTCTACTATGTCATATCAGAATTTAATTGCTATCTGCAAAATTGAGTATAGAAAATTTGATTCCAAGTTTTTGTTCTTATTTATAATATTTAGTAATTTGACTTTTAGAAAACTGCCTTTCGTCAGAATTGTCAGAAAATAAATTTTTAAATTTCCTTATTTTTCCAGGTTTTCCAGATAAAAATGAAAAATTTTCCAATCTAAAATATACGTATTTCTCGTAAATAATATTTCTCGTTAATATACGTATATCTCGGTAGTTCAGAAATTACATGTGTATAATATCATACATATGTAAATATGTAAATTTTAACATCTTTAAAGTCAAGAATTGTAGGAAAGCTAGCCTATATTATTAAAAAACAACGTAAAAGAACTTAATAGCACAATAAAATTTTGGGTGCAAATTCAAGCCAACAAAAAATAAATTAGTATTGGAAAAAAGAATGTAGTTACGAAAAAAGGGGATCAAATAAAAATACTGAATAAAAATTTTAAAATGATAAAAATATAAATTTTTATCATTTTATTAAAATCGTTTAAAGTGTGCGAGTTTTCAACGTACTTCACTATAAACGTCAAATATAATATTAAAAAATTATAACAATTATCTGAAATAGGAGCAGTTTAAAGAAATTGTGAGCAAATAAAAATTCCAAACTTTTTTCTCCTGATTTGTCCCGGTTTTTCAGATCTATGGCAACCCTGAGTAATATAACATTAATTCCATTCGACGATTTCATTTATACTAGACGTTGAAAGATTTAACGCTCGTAAAATGGAGTTTGCATAGTTTTTCTTTTATATAGCAATAATATAAATTTTTTTATGAAGTATCGACATCTTGAGCATATATACCGCAATGTATTTCCGATGTCACACTTAAGAATCGAATTTAACGTCGCGTAAGACCGCGAGAAGTGTCGACAAGTTGCTATTACCGGCTCGACTAATGGTCTTAGTATAACTACATAGTTAGAAAGTACTGATCATTCAGCCACCGCGTGCCGGAAAATCTAGTATAAATCTCGTTAAACTGGTACAAATTGTGAGACTGACCAGTTATAACTAAAGATTTAGTATTAAAAAATTAGAATTCTTATAAAGAAAATTAATATACGTATATCTCGGTAGTTCAGAAATTATATATGTATAATATCATACAAATTAATTGATAAACAAGTTTTGTTACT